TCTCACACACACACACACACACACACACACACACACAATTACGAACACACACAGACACACTCATCTCCTCGTCCCCATCCTCCAATTCATTCGCACACATATCCCTCCATCTCCTCTCCTCCCCCCTCCTCCTTCTCCTCTTCCTCCTTCCTCTCTCATTCACATACTCATAAACACACCCTTCCTCCTCCTCCTCTTCTTCCTCCTCCTCCCCCTCCCATACACACACACAGACACACACACACACACACACACACACACACTCACACACATACCCTTTAACCTGTCCCCGTCGTTTTATGCTAGAAAAATTCTTAAATTAAGCAAACTGAGCCCAAAAAATGTGAAATTAAGCGATTCTGTTACTTTTAACAAAGAATGATAAAGGAAAATAATCAGAAATTATGCAAAAAATGATCAAATTTTGATACATTATGCGGGTGCATAAAACCACGTGGACAGTTTACCCCCCCCCCCCCACACATACACAACGCTCCCACAACCACCAGCGAATGTGGTTCAGTAATGGCAAGGCTCACCACCGTTTCTCACAAAAGACGAGACGTGTCACTTCATAAGTATCTGTCGGGATACTGTATCCTGTTTCATCCGGGTCGGCCCCAAGTGGCAAGATCGTAGCAACCCTCCTCTAAATCATGTGGCATAATATGTGAGGCGGCGTGGTGGAATCAGGCTCTCATCAATTTTGGGACATGTAGAGTTATTGGTATCATCTTCAAGCTTGTTCACTTATCTTTATTTGGATGGGAAAAAAATACCCTTTTATCCAGAAAACAAGTCGAGATATTTGCGAATGAATGAGGTGGGGCTCACCTGTTTTCAGAGGTAAAATGAGAAAATGGCAGCCAAAGATTAGTTATTTCCTTAGCTTAAGAGTCCGTGGTAACTAAAAATTTACAATTTTTGTGCCTTTAATCAACGTTTTTCAGAAAAAAAATTTCTTCACTTTGATTATTTTGACGAGAGCCTGATTCCACCACGCTGCCTCACATATAGTGTGTCAAAACTGGCTCAAACAATTTGATTTGAAAACATATATTACTCCTGTCCGCGTCGTTTTATGCAAGAACAATTCTGAAATTATGCAAACTGAGCCCCCCAAAAATGTGAAATTCAAATCTATGCGATTCTGTTAATTTTAACAAAGACTGATAAAGGAAAATAATCAGAAATTATGCCAAAAAAAATGATCAAATTTTGCTAAATTATGCGGGGTGCATAAAACCACGCGGACAGTTATACTAAACAAAAAGTGTTATAATTTTAACATACAATTTGTATTACAAAGTATTAGATCTAGATTTATATTCTTTTTGTACAATTCGTCGCCTGTCACACGAAAGGGCGTATTCCAGATTTTGGCAGTTTTGAGTTGTTACTACTAGTAGATAGCGCTGCCTCAGATCTATGTTCACACGAAACGGCGTATACCTAGCTTTAAAATAACAGTACTAGCAGTAAAAAAACGAAAAGGGCGTACGCTGACACTCAACGCGACCGAATCAGACGAAACGGCGTACGCAGGCTTGCGCCCTTTCGTGTGCAAAAAATTGATACAAAGTTGTATCAAATCTATTCGCACGAAAGGACGTATACCTTGGTTACACCCCTTTGTGTGAACGACCGTTACACTTTC